TGAAATTTATCGGTAACCTGAAATATTAAAAAACTGTTTTAAATTACCAATCTAATCTTTAAAAGATTTAATATCAAAATAAGTCTCAAAGTGCCTTTATGAAGATATAATTATGAAAAGTTCAACCCGTAAATCTGCTCGATGCATAGCATAAAACAATGTAAAGACATTTCAATCAGTTAATATAATGAAACACGTCTATTAGTATGCGGGAAAACGAATCAGAACATAGCATGAATAAGAGGCTTTAGAAATTGATGTACAAATAAATACATAAACCATAGGGAGGAAGAGAAGCGATTCAACCACGGATTTAACCAATAATGACTTGTGTCTGATAAATCAGAAAGGGTGAAATGTAACCATCAACATAAGAAATATATAAATGCAATAAAAGATATACCTGTTCATTTGTCGTCATTCCTCTGGAGATAAGAGTAACGTGAAAAGTCGTAAGACCATATACAGGTATAAGAAGGAGGCCAACAAGCGAAGCCAAGCAGATCCTGAATCAAAAATAGTCCTCTCAATATAATAAAAATCAATCGAAATATTCGAATATAAATCTAATTTTATAGTACACGTAATAGATAAAAGGTATACCTTATTATGGTAAACAACTCAATTTGATGTCTGGACTGAATAATATGAAGGACTGTCAAGGCAAACACACAGAGCATGTGTATGGATAACGATAATAAAAATAGGAAAAAGTGTCTATAATTCCTTTTCCCAATACAGTTATTTATCCATGGGCAATGATGGTCAAAGCACTGAAGCTAATTAAAGTGTAAAGCTGACGACATACATCAACGCATCTATTGCAGATAGAACAATGAGAGCATCTTGGTTGACGGTAAAATTTACAAGTCGCACACCATTTAACTTTAGCAAATACTCCATTAATTTGATATTCTAAAAAATTTGGTCCATCTCTGGCGTCTTCAATAGCTGCTTCTTCCAAGGTGGCTGACCAATAAGGCAAAAATTGAACTTACCGTAGGGTAAAAAACCTGGATCCATGAATGTGGCTTTTGTAAAATTTATAACGACAAAGTTGAAGAGCAATGAGTGAAAAACAAATATGAGCCATGAGTGTTTTGAAGAAAATTCGAAGCATCTAATAAAGAAATGATTAGTTTAAAATGTCTTACACGAATATGAAGTAAATAGCACTTAAGCTAATTAAAAGGCTCCAAGCTAAAATAGCAGGACATAATTTCGTTAATTTCTTGCACTTCATTACAAGCCCTTATGACATTATCGATTCCAAGCAAATGTACACATCTATTGAAAGAGCCGCCTGACATTATTTTGGTCGGCTAGACATTCTAACACAATTCCGTTATTCAAAAATTCCTTAATTGTATTAAAATATTTCTAAAGATTTTATTGTTTTTATAATTTATATTACAATAATAACTGTTGTCTTTAAACTTAGAAGAATTTTTGGGAAAAGGGGAATCACGATTTCAAGATCCGAAACATAAATAATTGATGAATGTAGATTTCGAAACTATATGTAAATTTTAAAACAGAAATAATTCGTATAGTTTTCTTACGTTATATAGAGACAACTTATTAATTTTACCACAATAAGTTGAATAGCCCTAACGACGTCATTCAATTCCCTTCATTCTTGACTTAAGTAATCTCATCTAGGAGTAAGGAAATTATCAACCTTACCGAGGTGTCCGCGCCACTTTCAACAGGATTTAATGCCACAATTATCCTGTTAACCTTACCACCCCACAAAACAGCTGTGGATGCAAATGTGTCACTAGGCTGTGCCACGCCTCAAAAATTATATTTTAGTCTGGCTCAACTAGCTAATGTTGTATGGTATGAGGAAAAAGGTACTCACTGATTAACTCCAGTAATCAAAAGATTCGCGCTTTTTGGCAATTTTAGTGTGGTTTCATCATACCTGCGGTTTACATCGGCCCCCTCACTTAGATCGGCTTATCCGACTAGGGCTTCTTATCCAGATCTCCTTCATGGTCCCGTAGATCCATTTCTTATTCTCCTGGTTGATCGATTTAAATCGGAGCCAGGCCTAAGCTATGACTTACTACAGGCGGTGTGTATTAAATGGCACTTCAGGATTGTAGTGGTTTCGGGATTAAAATAAAATTAATATAAATTCACAACGATCTACGGAACGTCGTAATGATCAGTAGGTGTTGTGACATAGAAAAACATTTAAACGGAAGACATTGGCTCTAACTACTGCGATCTCAAAATATAAAACATACGAAATGTTTGTAGCGTCAATTTTTACTTCAAAATGACAGAAGCCGTTTAGGAGACATCCTGATGGAGCTTATCAATATCACCGAAAAGTTCCTTGAGAAGAAAAAACAGGAGATGGAGATACAAATAATTCCAAAGATCTTGACGCATCAAAAACTAATACACGTGAATAGATTCGCCAGGATACGCAAGGTCCTGGAAACGAATGAACAATTAGTCCTTCAAGTAGATAAAGCAGGAGCGACAAAAATACCGAAAAAGGGGAATATATTCTACGAGACAGGACAACATATCGTAGACTAAAGAAGAAACAAACTATGAAGATCAATGGAATCTTAAGTGACATGCTGAAAGATGTATACAGGAACAAAAAATTGACGCATGGACGAGAAATTCAATCATATGAAATAATGCACGACCACCAACAGCCTACGGATTACCGAAGATACACAAAGAAGGCAACCACTAAGACTGATAGTCAACAACAAGTTAGAGCAGTGCACAAATGGGAAATGTGTATATGTTTGAAACTCAAGAAATTAAATGACAGGCTATCAAACACAATGAAGCATTCATATGAATTTTTTTAATCAAAAATATGGCAACGGAAGAAACAGACTTATTGGTAAGTTTTGATGTAGAATCCATGTATACAATTATATCTAGAGAAAATGCGCTGACGGACCTGCTGGCAATTTTGGCCCGATTGGAGGATATCCTGGAATCACAACGGATCGGTGGAGAGTCGTTAACACGACTAATCAACTTGACAATAAGGACAAACTATTTTACATTCAATCGGAACATCTGTGAACAAATATTTGGACTTGCCATAGGAACGCCGCCCAAACGTATACATGAACAAATTAGAAGAGAACTTCAGGATGTCATCACTACAATAAGCAGTGCTCGTGCTGTGCATGGATGATTACTTCGCACTCTAGTAACAACGCAGAAAAGAAAAATTTGAAAATTTTCTGATGTTTATAAACCAAATTGATAAAAAAATCAAATTCACAATGGAAGTAGAGGAAAGAGAGTGATTTCCGTTCCCGGATATTGAAGTGATTCAGTCAATTATTCAGAAAGAAGTCTCATGCTGGAATAATAATCAATTTCATGTCCCATCAAAATTACAGGCTAAAGATAGGAATAATGAGGAACATGATCATCCAAAGTCTTCATTTAACGGATATGGAATTCTAGGAGGATGAGTTGTATAAATTTATTCGAATATACCTCGGAAACGGCTACCAAGGCGAAGTAATACAAAGAAACATACGGGCCGTGAAAAGCCGATGGCAAAACGGGGACTAAGAAATAACACTAAGGATGGAGAAGGATTAAAAAAGTGAATATGCCTATCTTCATGCAAAGTGACTCAAAAAATCTAATAAACAGGAGATTGGAGGAAGGCAGAGTTAGCAATAACTTTGCCTATTGCTTAAGCAAACTTGGCAAAAACAAGAATACAGCAAGACCAGCAAAAAGGAGACGCATGGATCAAGGATCTATCGCAAACCGAAGGAAAAAAGATCGCGATAAGAAAATGGAGGGAAAATTTAGGAAATCTAGTGAAGATGTTATCAGTGAGTAAAGTCTGTTTGCAGAAACCATTACAACTTTGGGGGCCTGGCAGTCAGGTAGCTAGGCAGACGGATAGGCACAACTGTTACAGAAATTCAACATTATGGTCAAAATGTACAATGAATCCACCTGAGATGCAGCAAACGACCAGAACCTGCGATAGGCGTCCACAGTTTGCTCAGGTAACACTGGTTTAATCAGGGAGATGACTTGTGTAGGCAATGCCTAGTATCTGCAATCGACTGGAACCGAGTGAAATAGGTCAACCGGAAAGATAAGGAACGGATCTACGGGAGATCCGGATAGGAGGTCCGAGTCGGATTAGCCAATCGAAAGAGAGAGGGTCAGGGTAAATAGCAGGATTGATGAGGCCATACTAAATTTGCTAAATAAAGGTACACATTTTGACGAGTGGAATGTAAACAAGTCAAAAGTTGTGATAGGGCAGGAGTTGGATAAAAGGCCAGAACAGAAAGAGGAGTGATAATATAACCGTTTCGGCAGAACGTTAGTTGGGGGATTGACTTCACTTGTCTCTTTGACGAGTTTGTAGCTTGGTGCGGAGAATAGGAAGACTCACTGATGATGCCGACTTCCATGCCGGTGAAACATTCGAGAATCTATCAAGTCCATGCTCTGATGCTGGGAATTATGATAACTACCATGACAGAGGACTTAGGACAATGTGCGTTCAACCAGGTCGCCCTGACAACAAGGCAAAGTTGCGAAAGTGATGTCAACCCAGTTCTATAATTCAAATGCAGATTGAGATTATCCCGAGTGCCATATCTTCTTGGTATTCATATTTTCGTATAAAATATTTTGTTTCTCGAAAATAAATAGGTACACGATGGCGTAAGATCAACGAAATTTCAAAGAAATTTCTTGTTTGGATTTTAATTAATATTTACTTCTATATATTATTCAAGTATCCATCTTTATTTTTATTATGTTCTATCAAATCTTAGTTCCTTGATCTCATACAACTTTTCTCGCTCCCATTGTTGAGCACAATTTTCGCTACGAGCATCTGCTTATGTTGAAAGCTCAGGATGCTTATTTAACATTTCTTTAAACTTTTTTTTAGACTATAGCATTCGCCTAACTCACTGGTTTAGAATTGCTTTTTGGATTGTGGTTATTTAGTTGCCTTCACACATCTAGGCTTATCTAAATATATCTCATTATGTAATCTTTGTCAATTGTGAACAGTTTGCTATTTCTTTGTTGGTTTTCGTTCACTTGGATAAAGGTCTACGTAATAACTACTTAGGCAAATTGTGCCTTGAATTAGGTTTTAATTCAGCGAAACAAAAACAAAACATTAACTCTACATGCTAAGAGAAAACTATTTTTACTCAAATTAAATTTAGCCCATATCTGAATGCTTTAGCAATTGGAAAATAATGGCTTAGGCTTTAGCTCGTAACTTTTTGAATTATGCCATGAATGTCATCTTATTATCTTTTAGATCTGTCTGATACGAATTGAAACAGAAGTGGAGGTGCATGCTAAAATTTTTATGCATGGCACTTACTCCACAGTCCTTTTCATTACATCTCTAGACACAAGCAGCTAATAAGCAGGTATCTCTCAATCTAAGCTGCACAATTCGAAGCGTGATTTATATGTAAATGTCCCCCGTGGGCTAAGTGAGCCTAGCCACTACATCAGGCCTCCTTGTTGAACCAATTAAAACATGGCATCAAAAGAATACAAGAGTATTCTAAGTCAAAAATTCCATAGACTGAAAGCTGTTTACTGCTCCTCTAATTTTTCCTTTATGAACCTCTGTGACCGAACAATGCTCTTTTGCGCCGATACTTCACACCGCCATCGTCTATAATTACCACTCAGAATCCCCCCCTGTAACATTTCTTGTTACAATGAAATGTACTCCATGATTAGTTTTCTTGTTTATCTATTTAAGACCGGGATAATCTATAGAGTAGAAAA